TCATATTGTAAATTTGTTGGATTAGGAATTGCCAATTTAGATCGTCAAAGGCCTTCTGTGCATCCAAGAATACAAGGGCTATTTGCTTTTCCGGATGTGCTTCGTAGTATTCCAAAACATTTAATACTATTCTTAAATTATTCCTAATTTGTCTATTGGGAAGAAATCCGTTTTGACCTTTATGTATATATTCATTCAACTTTTTTAAATCTATTTGCTATAATTGTGTTAAATATTTTATAATCAATATTTAACGGAAATTGGTCTATAATTTTGTATAAGTCGTAAATCTGAATCTTCTTTCAGAATCAGTGATATCAGTTGTCTCCTTCCATTCTTGCTGCTAGTAGGACCTCATTATATACTTCCACCATGAGAGGTCCTATTTGTTCTCCTATTTTCTTATAAAGTTCCCCTGGTATCCCATCGGGTCCTGGGGTTTTATTGTTCTTTTGGTTTTCTATTGCTGCTTTTAACTCGGGCCACGTGATGTCTGTAGTTAACATTTCCTTCACCTCCTCCTTGATTATTTTATCTTTAGTAATACCCAAATAGTTTCTTATCATGTCCTCATTTACCTCCTTCTTTTTATAAAGATCTTCAAAGAATTTACATGAGATTTTCTTTTTCTGTTCTATCCCTTGTTGGGCATCCCCATTCTCATCTATTAATTGATAGATCAGTCTTTTTTGTTTTTCTTTTTTAAGTTTATAGGCCAACCACCTTCCTGGTTTATTGGCCTGTTCAAAAAATATCTGTCTGGCCGTATTCAACTTTGAAACCATTCCTTCTTGTTCAATTAAATTTAATTTATGTTTAGTTATTATCATCTGTTTTTTCAATTTACAATCTTTTGGGGTGTTTTGTAGCTGAATTTCTAATTCTTTGATTCTTTGTTCTAATTTATTTTGTTGGGCATATTTTTCTTTATTTCTTTTAGCAGTGTATGATATCGTTGTGCCTCTTATTATTGCCTTCATTGTATCCCAAATATTCTGTTTCGTAGTTGCCTCATTATTATTTTCTTTTAAAAAATAGTCTAATTCCTCGTCAAGTTTATTCATAAATTCTTTCTCTTTAATTAGCTGTGTATTTAGGGTCCACCTTTTTCTTGGTTTCTTCCTGCCTTTCCACACTATCTGAATTGGGTTGTGATCTGCCCATTTGTTTGGTAAAATTTCAATCTCTTTTAATTCATTTACTAACTCACCATTCATCCACACCATATCGATTCGTGTCCGTGATTGGTGAGGGTTGGAGTAAAATGTAAATTGCTTTTTCTCAGGGTTTAATTTCCTCCACATGTCTATCAAATTTAGTTCAGTCATCATTTCTTCACATGTTTTTGGTAGTTCTCTTTTTTTCTTTCCCCCCACTACTATGATCTTTCTGGTGGTCCACAATAGCATTGAAATCCTCCAAGGTGCAAATATTCCTTTTATCTAATTCCACTAATTTCCCATGTAATTGTTTAAAAGATTCCTTTTGGTTATCGTTAGGGGCATAAATTACCACTAGTAGAATTGGAATTGATTTAATCCAAATTTGTAACACCAGAATTCTTCCATTGGGGTCTATCCAAATTGGCTCTGTTTTCATATCGTCTTTCACATATACTGCTGTCCCTTTCTTTTTCCTAAAATCTGCTGGCGAAGTATACAAATTCCCTAGCTTGGGGCATTCTAGATATTTTTCTTCTTCCTTCTTTATATGAGTTTCCTGTAAACATATTATATCTGCATTTTGTTTAATTAATTTGGTTAATATTCTTTTCCTTTTTATCCTAGAGTTTAGGCCATTTATGTTAAGTGATAGTATTTTCTTTTCTTCATCCATCACCTAATTGACTCTTGCTCTTTGTCTTGTAGTTACTCCTGTCTCTCTTTGTGGCTGATTGTGTGTCTTCGGTTCTTCTCTTTCTTGATGTTGTTTGTTTTTCGAATTCCTATGATTCCCATCTCTATTTTTTTGATAGTCTTGGTCGTCTTGCGAATTCATTTCTGATTTGTCTCTACTACTCGATTCTTCATGGCCTATCAATCATTCATAGAATTCTTGGGCTTTTTCCATGGAGTCCACTTTAATTTTTCTTTCTTCCCAAGTGATTAGCATTTCCTCTGGGATTAACCATCTGAATATGATACCTTTTTGGTTTAATTGGTTCGCCAAAAATTTATAATCTCGCCTCTGCTCTTTCACTCTTCTTGGGATTTGTTTAAGCACCAAGATTTCTTTTCTTTTGTATGTAATTGTTACTTCTCTAAAAATTTTGTATATAACATCTTGCACTTTCCTTCTGGCAAATCTCACATGGACCTCTTTTGGATGTTTATGTCGTCTTGCGTAATTTGTGCTCACTCTATATACTTCGTCTAACTCTTTCAGAATATCATCCTTATCTTTTTCTGCTAATATTCCTGCTAGGTCTGCTAATATTCCTGCCATCACTTGTTCTAAGTCCTCTTCTTTAGATTCCATTATATTTTGGAATCTCAGATATGCTGCGGCCTTGTCCATTTCCAGATATACCAAGGAATCGTCCATTTCTTTACTCACATTTCTTAATTGCTCACCAACCATTTCCAGCTTTTTTTCTGTTTGTTCCGTCCTTTTCTCAACCTCATTTTTTGTTGATTCATTCCTTTCTAGTGCTTGCTGTATTGTTTCAATTTTTTGATCCAACTTTAAAATGTCTAATTTCATTTCTGCCTTTAAGTTTCCCATCTCTTCTTTTAGTTCTTTTAGTTTGTGTTAGCTCTTGTTTCGGTATGATTTTTCGCCATTATTTCCTGAAGCTTCAGCATGGACTCTTGTAAAGTAAGAAGGGGCGATTGCATATTGGCATTTGTGATGGTAGGTTGTTTTTCTCCAGGTAGAGTTTCTTCAATTGTCTTTTGTGCCATCACTGAGGTTGATGGCATTGGAGTTGTTTGTATTGAAGAAGTCTTCTTTCCAGTTTTAAGCATTGTGTTAGTGACAGAGGTTATTTCTTGTAAAATTTGTTTCTGTTTTTGTATTATATTAAATATGTTGTCCCAAATTAACATTCACTATTGAGAAGTATCAACTATAAATGGCTACTACGCTAATTGATATGATATGTTACAGGATTAACCTCTCTTATCAATATATATATCCTCCAGAACACTTTTACAACTAATTTCTAAATCATCAGATATTTGAAGATCTTAATAATATATCAAATTCCTCTATTTAAATTTAGATACTATTGTCCTGTATATCTATAAGTGCTATAGAATCCCAAATCTCAAAATAGTGTTATGAAATAATATTTCAAATACTTACAAATCTAAATAAAGCTATATCAGCTTTGCTGTACAATAATTAATTAGTTAATCTACAGTAATCACAATCACAATTAATTATTTAATTCAATCTAATCAATGCCTATAATCAAATATCTATACCCAAATAATTAGTTATCACCTCCCTTTTTTGTGTGTATAACCAAATATAAACTTCAATATTTACTAATATATCAATTAAATTATATATAAATTACATTAACCACATTCAAAAATCAGTTGAGTTGATGTCAAGAAATAATTATTGCAATTTAAATGCTTAGAGTGTCTTAATATGATTGTTCAGTTCTTCGAGATTCCTTTACCAAGCACACTGGAAGCACAGAGTTGCTGAGTAATGTCTCTGATTCTACTGTCTCACCACACTTTCTGCTGTAACCATTTCTCCTTTCGTTTAAAAGTTTTACAAGTCAATTTTTAGATTCAAATAGTCTCTTTCTTTAATAAATCTTCTCCACTTACTACAGCTCCAGTCCAATAACCCAAAAAGAGACCAGTAAATTATTCAGTTTCTTTCGTGAAATATTTAAAGTTGTAGTTTAATTCCTTACTTCAAGTCTCTCCCCATCTCAAGTTCGTCCTTCCCCAAAGTCCACAATTCAAATCCTTCAAAGTTCCCTTAAATTAATTCGTTGTTCTTTCTTTCTTCTTCTTTTTCTCTCTCCCCCAATTATTATCAGTCTCTCAGATCCCTCAGATTCTCTTATCTTCTTTGTCTGATTGCTCGTGTCCTTACCCTCTTCTGTCTCATGAGCCCTTTCGCTTTCTCTGCTGCTCGTATCTGCTCTGGCCGCCGTTTTCGGGCTTCGCTCTGACTAAGATTCTCCAATATTCCACGCTCAATCAGGATTGCAAATTCTTTCACTCACACTCTTCATTCACCACAGTCTGTCACTCACTCGCTTCCTCTTGTATAAAATGATCAAGGCTTTAGGACCACCTTAGCTGACAGTCTCTTGTTGTCGGTCTCCATAGGGTTTCTCTACATTGCGATGAGAATCGCCTTTTCCACACCGCGACTTGAGTCTCCTCACACTTCTGGCACACTTCTTTACACCCCTAAGGGTCACTCCAACAGCAAGAGGAGAAACCCAGAGCGAGCTTCAGCACCTCCGTTCACCCATATCTTGTCACCGGAAGTCCCTTTTCGAAAGTGTCGCTTTTTAAAGTCTGTCCTATGGGATCATTCTCGCGAGTGGCCCAGAAAAACGTTTCAAAGACGTCAACTTCATTATCTAGCGCATTTCTTGATTCCATCAGTTGTTCAATCCTGCCTCTGCTTACAAACGTACAACGGAAGGAAAGGTTGAGAATTGGGAGGTGGGGATGATGTTGAATTAGAACCACAGCACTGTTCCCTGTTAGGTAGTTAGATAAGTAGGTAGTTTGCTAGTTCCTCCTGGATATCAGCAGAGTGGTTCGATTGTGAAATGGGTGGCATATAAATTTTATAACTAACTAACTAACTAACTAACTAACTAACTAAATATCCTCCTGGAAATATTTGAACAGTAATCATTGCAAGTTTTAAATGTCTGATTGAGTGATTTAAAAATGAAATATGAGTCATTTCTTTCATGTGTGCTCTCTCTGTCTCTATGCATTTATGTAAAGATGCAAATAAATAGAAAGACCATGATGCTAACTTCTTTTTGTTGTTTGTTTAAATATCAGATTTTTCTACTGGCTTGTCCACCTTGTCATTTCACCATGATTCTATTCAGGTAAGTGAGTTACCACCAATACAGTAGTTTGTTCAAATGATGACCTCGTCTGTGGCTTGGTTGCCTATACTTTACATTGAAGAACATTGACCATTTACAATTTGTATCTGTGTGGCTGAATGTCTATGGAAATTCTCAGCTGTCCAGATCATGGTTGTCCCAAAGGTGTTATTTTTTTTCTTCAAAAGGCAACTGGACTTTCTTTGTTTTTCCTTGAAGACATTTTGCTTCTCACCCAAGAAACTTGAGTCAGAACTGAAGAAGCTTTTTGATGAGAAGTGAAACATTTTCAAAGAAAAAGAAAGTCCAGTTGCCTTTTGAAGAAAAAGAAGTATCTTTGGGACAATCTGTGGCTATTCCTTTCTTTATCATTAGATTTTTATCCAGCCTTTCTACCTTCATCCTTTACATGTGGATCTGTTTTTTTTTTATTTCCCCCAGATAAGGATTTTTTTCCCTTCTGTTATATTAACAATTGCAATTGGGTTACACCTTTTGGAAATGTTTGAGATGGCATCAGTACCCCAAAGGATGTCTCATGTTATAGGCTCTTCATTTGGATGCATCTGGTGGATGTACACAACAGGAATTTCCTTGGTTGGCATTCTGATGTGTGGACTGATGTCAGAGAGTAATCTAAGTAATTCATCTGCCATGGCAAAAAGATCTTATTATATATAGAATCATAGAGTCATAGGGCTGGAAAGGACCTTGGAGGCCTTCTAGTCCAACCAGCTGGCCAAGGTAGGAGACCTTATACCATCAGGGACAAATTGTTCTCCAGTCATTTCTTGAAAATTCCAGCAATAGGGCATCCACAACTCCACTGATTCACCATTCCCACTATCAGGAAATTCCTGCTTGTTTCAAGATTATATTTCCTTTGATGAGCTCATTGCTTTTTTTCCTGCCCTCAGGTGCATTGGAGAATAAGTCAGCCCCCTCATCTCTGGATATTGGAAATTCCCTCAAATATTGGAAGATGTCTATCATGTCAGCCTAAGCCTTCTCATGCCTAATTTCCTTAGCAATTCAACCATCGTACGGTTTAGCCTCCAGACCCCTTATAATCTTTGCTGGTCTCCTCTGTACTCTTTCTAGGGCCTCGGCATTCAATTTAACTCCTTGGAAAGGGCTGTTCTTTAAGTAGCCATCTTGCTAACTGAGCCTTGAATATAAAAGGTTATAGTCTTTAGAAACAGGAAGAGCTGAAGTTGGATTATTTTGCCCTAATGCAGGGTATCTAGGCTTTGGAAGTTCTGGGAGTTGAAGTCCACCCATCTTAAAATTGCCAAGGTTGACAAATCCCGCCCTAATGTCAGCCCTTGGAGGCAGGCCAGGTCAAAAAACAGACAGGCTGGATTCCAGGAATGCTGTATTATTGTTCTAGGGCCATTAATGAATCTTTTTTTTTTGTAAATTTTATTTGAGTTTTCACAAAAAAATACAAATAAAACATCTTTTTTGAAAGTCGCGTAATCCCGGGTTACATTTCTTCGTACAGACACAAATTCAGGTTCATGCTCATTTTTATATCTGTTCCATACCTTATTACTATTTACATTTTCTACATAGGGTCTCCCCTCTTTTAATTTTCTCAATTTTATTTTAATTATCTCATCTCAATTCAAATATTTATATTTTTTGTCTGTCCTGTTTCAATTACCTATTATCTTTTCTCATTAAACAAAATTTCTCCTGTAATTATTGATTGGAGTATGACGCCTTTATATCTTTTCCCTAAAGTTGTTACATTCAATATAATACATAACTTCCATTCAGATTCTGCTTGGTAGATTCTTAAAATACACATTGTATTCTTAAAAAAAATGTATATAATTAAAACAACATTCCATTCCAATTCAATTCTATCACTAATATTAATATTCATTGAAGTCTTAACATCTTTAACATTACTTTTCAATTAAATATCATACTTCTATGGGAACAATTATAAGCTTTCCATAGATAATTCCCCCCCCTTCACTTATATTTTATAAAACATTAATTAATTAAAATGTTCCCATTCCTTCCTAATTCAATTTTCTCATTTATTTTATTTCATGTATTTTATTCACAAACGTTTCACTAAGTTACACTAACTATTTTATCCCTCATTTTAATCATACATTATTTCCAATTTTCTAAAGTTATTTCTATTACTAATATAACAATATAATCTTATGTACCTTTACAGAATCCCTTTTTCAGTTAGATTTTCACCCATTATCTCTAGATAGGTCCTGTTTCTCTATATTTCTCTATACCGGAGCAGGTCCTTTGTAACTTCTTTTCCTTCCCTTCTTTCCTCTCTTCTTCTCTCTCCCCTTTTTACCCCCTTGTCTCTCTACCTTTATTTCTCTCTTCTGTATTCCCCATTTCTGTTGCTTTCCAGTATTATACTTATTTTTCAAATTATTTTTCTTTTCTTTGGTTGTTTTTTTAAGTCTTAAATTTTCCATTCTCTTTTCCCCCTTTTCTTCCCCACATAGAATTACTTGTTCATTAAAGATGGCTTCTTCTTTGTCCCAGTCTTCTTGTTTTGCAGTCTTTTCTTGTTGTTTCTCATAGTTCCAAATCTCCATTTCTAAGAATTGAAAGACGAAGCCAAAAGAACCGTTCCCTTCTTGTGCATCTTCTTTGTACTTTTTAAGTTCCATTTTCAATTCATCAAGAAGTGGTGCCATTGTATAAATTTTTAAACAACCACCCGATTGATTTTAGGCATTCAAATATAATAACGAAGAGTCCAAAGATCACCAAATAATCCAAATACACGCAAGCTGTTTCTTTTTTGCTCTTTTTTTTCACTTTCTCTTCTTGGGGTTACTATTTAGTTACAAAGTTTCAGTTAAAATGTATCTTTTAGAAGTCTTGTTGAAGTTTTACTGTAGATTCTTTTTAATTCCATGCAGTCTCCTCCCTCTTCCAGATCCTGCCCTTATTCTTTTCTCTCCCTTCCTGCTTATGAAAAAGAAAATTTATAATGTCCAGAAATCTTTATTATCCTTTTGGCATTTTGTTTTATTTTCAGCTTAATTGCCTATTGATGTCAAAGCGGATTTTTCTGATTTCTTATTTAAGTCTCTTAGTTGTCAGTATAGGGAAGGAGAGAGAAGAAAAAAAAAGCCAAGCCTTTCCCTTTTCACTTTCCTTCGCTGCTTCTTACTCTTCTTTGGGAGGGATGTTATTTTTTGTAAGTTTAAATTCCAGGGTACCTTAGTTGTTGCTTTTACAATTTAACCCGGTCAGCCAAAGCTTTCACTTCTTATCTTCCTCCTGCACATTCTTTTCCGGTTGAGTTCTTCTTTGAGGTGGCCATTTCTGACCACCGCTGCAACCGCCTTCAGGAAAGGGAATAATGGCCAGGTGAGGAGAAGAGATGTGGCTCTCCTCGACCCTGCTGGCAGTCTCCCCTCTCTTCACCACCTCTACGGGGTGGCTTAGCCCTGAAACCAGCCAGCTCGGGGCACTCCAGCGGCGAGCCCAGACCAAAACCGTGCACGATCGCGGATTTCTGTCTGTCGCTGAAGCCCTTCAAACCGGAAGTCCCATTAATGAATCTTAAAAACCTTTTCATACCTTCACTGTATACTCTTTATACTCTTGGAGGATAAGAAGGTCAAGGAGGGATGGTTCTGAGTATCGTGACTGAGTAACCACTTTACTTATCCTACCTGCTTCTCAAGGCTGGATCTAAATTCTTCTGTACTTAGAGGTGGACTTTTTGGTGATGTTCTTAAAATGACTCATAATGGAATGCCTGGGCTGTTTTTGCTTTTGCTCATTTAAGAAGCAGACGATTGGACTAATCCAATAAAAGTTTGCATCCGAACTTGACCCTGTAAGTCGGCAGATGGTGAGGGAAAAAAAAAACAGTTGTAGAGGTTAAGGCACCAGGCTACAAACTGGGAGAGTGAGTTCTAGTTCTGCCTTCAATGAGATAGGTAATTTTAAGCCAGTCCTCCTCTCTTGGCTCTAGGAAGCAGACAACAGCAAACCACTACTGAAATCGTGCCAAGAAAACTGGTAGGAATAATAATTACACATAAAGAACCAATTGGAGTACTGGTTAAGTCGCCAGGCCATAAACCAGGAGGCTGTGAGTTCTAGTCCCACCCTATCACAAAGCCAGCTGGGTTACCTTGGGCAGGGTTTCATGCTTATCTCATTCTTCTAATGACAAGAGAAGATGCAGCCTTCTTCTAGAACCAGCTGCAATTGCTGTGAATTGCTTGCAACAGACATCCTTATGCTGCAAAGGTGATATTTGTTTTCTTCTTTTTTCTCTTTTGGTAGGTTGCAAATGCACATGCTGAATGGGGCCCTTCTTGCTCTCCTATTTCCTGTGGTTAACACCCGCCTGGTGAGTTAATCTCAGCTTGCTACTGGATTGGAACAGAGTCCACGCCCTTTACAAAACCATGGGTGACAGGTTTAATTTGGATGGAGTGATTCCTTGCATGAGACCCAGCAGTGCGTCTCCATCAAACCTTGCTTGCTTTATTTTTTTATGAGTCCAGGTGAAAGTGCATATCCAGCAAAAAAAGTTGTACACATATGACAGTTGCATGAATTGGCAGCCCACGTTATCACAGGATCTTTGACCGTACAGAGCACTAAACAGCTGTCAGTGCAAATAGCTCCTTTTTCCAGTAAGGACTTTTCTGTATGCATCCAATACTGGTGTATGTTTCCAGGGCTATCTGAGGTGCTTCAGAGGAGGTTATTTTTTTTATTATTTACCATTTATTTTTGAATGCACAGCTTGTACTGTGGTGTACTGTTCTCTTTTTTTGGCTAATGTGGGAGGCTGTTTTTTTTATTGGCTTTTGATGCTTTATTTTTTGTGTGAAGTAATAGAACAGTTGCAAGAATGACCTTTAGAAGGTCTTTCTCTGAATGTCCTGATTGTAGGAGAAGGAGTGGCAGAACCTGGGATGGAATTCAAAGAGGAATCTGCCTGGAATCCTTAAGTAATCACAAGCAAATTAAGTCCATGCTCCCCTCTTTGATCTCCATTAACCCCTATTTAATTTCTAGCGAATGCTAGAAATTTTAGTTGAGAATATTCCCGTGCATAGGCTGTTTAGCAATAAATTAGTTTGATTGGATCTTCATGTGTGGACTTAATCTTTCACACCAACATTGAGAGAGACCAGGGCACCAACACCAGTAAGGCAAATTTGCAAATGGACATGATCTGGAAGCATGTAGATCAAGTTTGTATATTTGTGCATGTGGGCTGCTTATCATGTCCCTTCCAAATCATGTAGAATTTGGTGAAATTAAGGTAAGACTTATTTAAAAATGGGTGAGGATTCATGAATCATAGCTTCAGTTTCTTAATACACCTATCCACCCACACCCACACCCACACCTGTAAATATACATTGTGGGTTTATTTTCAGTTTTCCTCCTCTTTTGTCTATTTTTCCTTGTTTTTTGCATTTAGTTAATTTAAAAACAATCAACCCCTCCCAATGGTTGAAGATAACTTAGTTTGATGTGGGAAATATATTTTTTTAAACAGGATGATAATTAGGTTTCTGCTAGATCAGTGTTTTCTTTCCACTTTTACACATTTAGATTTTTAAAAAGAAGTCTCTGAAGCATATTTAGGAAAAAGTTGCTGTTTGGTCCATCAGTAGGAACTGAAGTACTTTTCAAATTAAGGTTAGCCTTCTGGGAGAAAATATCAGCCAGATCCCTTACAGTGAAACATCTAATTTCTCTTCTGATGCTTAAGGTTGCTAGAAGACTATCAGAATTCCTCATAACACTGACATCAATGTTTGTGAATCTTGGGTGCTCTCTGAATTTAGTTGTTTTCTTGAAGACATTTCACTACCCAACTAGGTAACATCATCAGTGTCATTTGAAGATGTTACCAAATACTGTATATGTAAGAAAACAACCATGCTCAAATAGTACCAACCACTCCATAGTTCAACCCTGAGCTACAGAGATTTTCTTCTATTGAAATCAATTTTGGTAGATTGGATGAGGGTTTGATGCATGGAGCATGGCCTAGGAAGAGAGTTAGAGACTTGGTGGGCTGGATTAGGTGTTTCTTTTATGCTGATATCCTGATTAATGATATTGATTGTAAAGAATGCATAATGGGGTTTTGTTGATTGCAGCTATTTAATCATTCCTCCTCACTTGGTAGAAGCACATGTAGATTTTAACAACACACCCTCTTAAAAATCAGCAACTAGATACCTTAAATCAGATTAGGAATTAAATTTCTTACCAGATTACTTTGGGTTCTGCAGAGTCCACAAGGATTCTCTTTGCAGGACTGGAGAGGAACAAATTGTCATGAATGGTTGGATTGCAAAGTAGTTGATTGTATTTGATTCAGTCATGGTTTGTTAAAGAAGTCACAATTGGCCAAGTTCTTCTCTTGAGTTGATGTAGAAATCAAGGCTTTGAATCACAGTTATTTGATCTGGCACAGTGTGCTAAGTTGGACACACAAGGAATTTGTCTTGGTGCAAAGTGCTCTCAGTGTACATAAAAGAAAAGATACATTTGTCAAGAGTCAAGAATCATAAGGGACAACACTTAATTATAGTCATAGGGTACAATAACCAATCAAATCATACTAGGAAACATTCAATATAACGAAAGCTGTATTACTTATTTAGCATAAATGTTTAAAAAGCACACTGCAATTGCATTATTGATGAGCAAATATGAAACTATTTGTTCCCGAATTCAAACTAACAAATTAGCCTCCCCAAGGAATGTAGGAATCCTACACTTGGGTGCCCCTGGGCAATGACTTAGAGTCCGCTAACTCTTCTGCAAAGGCAGCCAGACAATCTTTCTTATCTCCTGGCTTAAAACACAACATTATGAGAAGTCCTAATAGCCGTAACCCCTGGCTGCCTGGTTGTAACTTGTAATTAATTCTAACACTTTTTCCTTAAACTGCTGGTTCTGATTTTAGTCATAGTCAAACTTTATTATGGATCATTGAACCTGACTCTCCGTTCATTGTCCCATCCACTCACCCACACACCCAATGGAACAATACAGAGAAGATTAGCCTGGCTTCATTTTACAAAATGTGATGCATCCCTTCTGCATTAATTGTTTTGGGAGGTGATGAGCATTATTGTGTCAAAGTTGAGGTGCGCCATTAAAATACAGTGTATTCCACTTCATTGCAGGGCAGGGCATCAAGTTTGTCTATTATCACAATAATTAAAGGGGTGTGACAATCAGGCCCCAGATGCAAGAATGCCTATTCAAAACAAAGTGTGCTATTGTTGTCATCAGTTGATCTTATCAGTTTTATCTCTGGTCCAACTAGAGCGATCCTATGGTTGTGTATCTCAGTCAGATTTTTTTTTTTGCTTTCGTACTCAGGCATTCACCCAATAGTAACAGAATAACAGAGTTGGAAGGGACCTTGGAGGTCTTCTAGTCCCAACTCAAGCCTGAGACCCTGCGTCAGGAGTGTCAAATTCAATTTTATTGAGGGCTGCATTCGGGTTGTGTTTGACTTTGGGGGCTGGGTGGGTGTGGCCAGGGTGGGAGTGGCCAGCTTGATGTCACTTGTGTCGGGGGCGCCTGTGGTGGCTCGAGCGCTCTGCCAGCAAAAACGGAGCTCGGGAGGCTGCAACGGCCTCCTGCAACCCTCTGCCAGTGAAAACAGACTCCTGAGCTCCATTTTTGCTGGCAGAGGGTTGCAGGAGGCTGTCGCAACCTCCCAAGCTCTGTTTTTGCTGGCAGAGGCACTGCGGGCCCATCCTTCGCTGTCTCCAGGGTGACCAGATCCAAGCACCCCACGGGCCAGATCCATCTCTCAGGCCTTGAGTTTGGTCTGCCAGACAAAACCAGTATGTATTCCAGACAAAATTGGCTGTCCAGTCACTTCTTAAAAACCTCCAGTGATGGAGCATCTAACAGCTTCTGAAGGCAAGCTGTTCCACCGATTGATAATTCTAACTGTCATTAAACTTTAATGATTATGTGGAATGCACAAAACCCAAGAGTTGTGTGGCTAAGTGGTGTAGTCTCATGATGTCACACTTTGCAACTGCTTTGCTTAACAAGGGAAATTCCAGTCCCAATTACCGTCATTAAGTGATGGTTACCTGTTTTGGGATAACTGTCTCCCAGAATATGCCCCACCTGAAGGATTCCGGCTTCAAAGAAGTCTGCTTTCTCCGCTTTGGAATCTGCTTGGATGATATTTTGCCTTGGCACCAACCACAGGAAGAAACACGTCCCAGAGCCAAGAATGCCATCCAGAGAGTATCCATGATATCAATCACTCCGAGACATTTTCTCTCCAATTGACTTATTTAGAAACAGATCTGGCATGTCAAAGGCAATTTCCCAAAGTGAAATTATTTCTGCACGTAACACAGAATCCACCTTCTCTCCTCCCACTTCTACACTTCATAAATCACAAAAACCAATTAATTGCAACTGGAATTTCTTAATACGACATACAGAATAACCTTGAACTTTTCAACTCCTACACCCCCACTTCCATGAAATGTGACAGCTGAGCTTTAAAGCTGACAGGCGTCCCGCCCTTGAAAACTCCTCCTCCTAAAAGAAAAGGAGAAAAAACAGATACAGGGGTTAGCACATTGTTCTTAACCCCTTCTCTCCTCTCCATGAGGACCTTTCAGTTTGTGGGGAAAATCCTCATGAAATTAGTTAACCAATTGGTTAATCAGCATGAACATCCCAACTCTTTACCCAACTAGCATCTGAGAGAGGGTATCATTTCCATAAGACCAAATATTGCAATCGGCCATGATGTAATCTAGAATTGAGAATTTTTTTGAATTTCATAATGTGTTTCCTCCTGTACCATTAACAGTTTAGGGGGAGCAATTGGCGGTGGTCTTATCATTGATGTAGTAGCTCGTTTTAGTAAACTACAATGGAATACTGGATGAATTTTCCCCAATATTCGAGGAAGACTTAATTGGACAGTGACCGGATTGATTATCTTTGAAATTGGGAACGGACCCAAGAATTTTGGACCTAGCTTCTTACTGGGCAGTCTCAACTTCTGAAATTAAGGCTTGTACTATTTCTTCTTGGTGGCTGTCAAACTGAGGTTTTCTGGACAGAACGTTTGCCAGTACGTTTTTCCCTCTGAGGATATATTTAATGTTAAAGTTGAATCGATTGAAATATTGGGCCCAGTGGACTTGTTTGGGTGATAATCTCCTAGGGGTCTTTAGTGCCTTGAGGTTCTTATCAGTCCATACCTCAAAGGGCTCTGGCACCCCTTCTAGAAAATGCCTCCAAGTCAATAAAGTCCATTGTATGGCGAATGCTTCTTTCTCCCAGACCACCCACCTTCGCTCTGTGTCTGTCAGCTTTTTG